AGCAGCCTCTGAGCTCGCCCAGGGGCACCAGTGGCAGTGACATAGCCAGGGTGAGAGGGTTTCAGGAGAGCTGTGGGAGCAAGGGCGATGCATCCTGCCGTTTCCCTGCTGCACCCCACATCCAGCTTCTCGTGCTTCATCCTCTCTAGTCCCCGCTTCCAGCACAACGGCCACCACAGCACCTCTTGTCATCTGCAGCCTTACCTGCACCTAGTTCACAGCGGTGTCGCTCCGCTCGGTCAGACTCGCGTACCTAGTGAGCGTGGCAGGTAAAAACTGTTAGAAATGCTCAGATACTGACTGCTAACCCCCAGAAATGGGAGCGGGAGGGCGGGTGGAAACAAACCCAGACCAGCACTGAAAGACAGCTCAGTGATCAGGCTCTGAGGATTCACACAAACTTGCAAGTCGCCTTCTGCTCCTCCACAACCTCCTTCTGCCCAAGCCGTTTGAGCTGCCGTCACCCCCAGCCACCTTACCTGCTGCTCTTTGGCTACAGACTGCCAGCCCCCAGAGCAAAGTCAGCCAGAAAAAACGTGGCCCCACGTGTCCGCTGTGTGCAGGCAAACTCCGAGGTACTTGCTGAAACCAGGGCCATGGTGGGTTTCAGGCTGCCTACGAGGGGAAGCCAACCTCGGAGGAGGGTCTGTGTCCCGATGGGAGCAGCTGTCCTGCCTCAATCTGTCCCATGCCAGAGCCCCAAGACAAGAGCTAATGCCCTGGAGCAGCTGAGGACAGAGGTGGGCACCCATCTCACTCTGCCATGCTGGGGCAGTGACCTGCAGCAGCAGGGCAGAATGCCCAAATGAGAACATTTATACCGTAAAAATTAGTGTAACATTTAAATCTGCCAAAATGCATCTGTCCCTCTTCTCACGCCTCAGCTCTCTGCCTGAGAAACAGCATGATCCTGCCTCCATTTCAACGTGTGAGATGCTTAGAGGTTGCTGTGGAAAGGGACACGAAACTGCCTGAAATTGAGACGTGTGGCCTTCCCCCATGTCGCAGGCAGGCACATGATCCTCCCGCACAGGATTGGGACCAGAGGCGCAAAGGAGCGTGTCACGGTTCACGCCACGTACTGCTGTCCTTGCCTATCTGCTCATTCAGTGACAGACTTGGCAGTGGGTGAGTTCAGCAACTTTGGTGGGCAAATGTTCCTGCATCGAAGCTCCAACTGTCACTCATTCAGAGCAGAAATCTCACTTGCCAACTCGGTACAGAACATTAGGACCAAATACAAATTCCAAAATTCTGCCAGTTCTCCAGAGCTGGGCTGCATTGCGTGACGGCAGATCGCGCGGGGTGCCTTCCGAAACCGTCCTGATAGTCTCAATCAGGCGGAGGCAATGTGGGTGGAACTCTTACCATGCCAGGCTGACTCCCCGTGAATGAGCAGAGGACTTGCACATTCTAGAAATAGTACGTACATCAGTATTCCTGCATGAGAAACTTGGGCACGCTGCTTTTCCTTTTCTCTCTCTTTTTTTTTTTTTTCCCTTCCCTTTTTAATAAAGGCTCAAAATAAACTCCGCTTCTGCCAGCGCTTACTAGCAAGCACAGTGCGCACAGCAGCGAGTCCATGCAAGATCACAAACATCTGAGCGCCAGGTGACAGACAGATTTCGTTATCGGCTTGCCCTAGGCAGGACCCAGAATAAAACCCTGAACTTGGGAAGACTTTTTTTCCATGGCTTTCATCAAGGTCTGGGATTTCAGCCTGTCTCTGCTTGCACAGCATCCAACACGATGGAGCCCTGGACCGTGACTGGACTTACTGGGGATGACTCTAAAATAAATGGCACAAAGCACTCAGGAAACAGATTTTCAAATGGCAAAAACCCTCCTTTGAAGCATACAAACAGTTTTGCTGGGGCATGGGCAGGCAGAGGAAGGCACTAATAAGCGCCCATAAAATCTCACCTTTAATCAAATGTCTGATTTCGGCCAACTGGTTTTAGT